TTTTCCCTGCGGTTGTGAATTGATGCCTAATTTTCATGGTCTTCAGATTGAGGTTCAGAAATATCTAGAATGTATTTCAAGATGGTATGCAAGTGTCCCATGGAGAGATTCCCTGCTCTGCCACCCCTCAGATGGTAGTGGATCAGCTTTGTGAGTTTGCATCCTGCCATGACTCATGGAATTATCTTTCTGAGACTGTTAGTGGACGACTGTTTGAGAACAGCATTATAATTACCTAGCAATACTACATTTTCATTTCTATGTGCATTTACTTCATTTTAAAATAAATGATCATTCAGTACGATGCTGCTGGTATTTGTATGAGTGACACCCACACACTGCGTGGTAGCGTGCACATTGTAACCACATATTTGAGTCAGTCTCAGGAAACATACAGATGGCAGTAATCTTAAGTGGAATATTTATTGATATCACTTTTTCTTCCTTAGGTAGATACAATCTGTTTAAATGCAGCAAGCACACTGCTGGCTTCAGGCACCAAAGAAGGCACAGTGACTGTTTGGGACCTCGCTACAGCCACCTTACTGCACCAGATCCCCTGCCATTCAGGGGCTGTATGTGCTACTGCTTTCAGCCCAGGTGTGTGTTACCCTTTCTCATACACAGGATGCCAGGTAAATTGCAGTTGTGAAATAAACACTTTAAAAGAAAAAACACTATTTGTGATAAAGGTTCTGCCTATGGATATAGGAGTATTCATGCCAGGATATAGTATACCTGTAGCACTGACACCTAGAAAAGCAGAATTGTATGTTCTTGGTTTAACTTATTAGAGAAATTAATGTTTAAGATATAAATTGACTCATACTGAAGGGTCATCTCATCCCAGTGTCTTAGGTAATAGCCATTTCAAGGACAACATACTGCTTAAGAAGCTCAAGGGAAATGAGCACGGCCACGGATGTAGAAATAAAACTCTGAACTTGGCATGGTGGTGCATACCTATAATCTCAGAACTCAGGAAGCCGAGGCAGGAGGATTGCTTCAAGTTTGTGGCCAGCCTGAATTATGTAATGAATCCAAGGCCAGCTTGGACTGCATAGCAAGACCCTGTCTCAAAAAGCAAAACAAAATAAAAAAGGAATGAAATTTTGTGATACATAATCTAAACCACACTCTGAAACCACTCCCTTGTCTCACAGATAGTCGCCACATTCTCAGCACAGGGGCAGATGGCTGTCTGAATGTGATCGATGTGCAGACAGGAATGCACATCTCCTCCATGGCGTCAGACCAGCCCCAGAGGTACAATTACTGAGTAGCCGTTCACACACTTGCCAAAACTACTGTGGTCATTTAACACCTCTTCATAACAAACATTTCCCAATCATTCTTGCAGGTGTTTTATCTGGGATGGAAATTCTGTTCTGTCCGGAAGCGAGTCTGGTGAGCTGCTGGTCTGGGATCTCCTTGGAGCAAAAATCAGTGAGAGAATACAGGGCCACAGTGGTAAGCAGTTTCCGTGAGCATTTTAGTCTTTGTTCCTGAGCTCTTGAACTCAGACCTGCCTGCCTGTTCCGTCGGGGACATGCTCTACCCTGGCAGAAAACACCCTGCGTGTTCTCCATGCTGTGAGCATTTCTGTGAGCAGTATGGTTGCCTGGTGATATGTGACTCTTCAAGACTCTCCATTTTACATTTATGTTGATGGACATTTGACTCCAAAAAGGCAGACTTTAAGTTAACTTTAATGTGGAGAAGTAAAAGCCATAGTAAAGTTGTAAAAGCATTTTTTTGTTTTTGTTTTCGTTTTTTGTTTTTTTGTACTGGGGATTGAACTCAGGACCTTGCCCTAGGGAGGCAGGCACAGTGATACTAATTTTTAAAGAAATGCACAATTTTTTTTAAAAGTCACGAATACAATATTAACCGCTCAAGTCCCAGTCCTCCTGAGAAGGTATTCTCATGTGTCTTAGGGTGTTTTCTGTTAACAAGTGACTGTACAAAATGGCACAATACCAAGCTCTTCTGCCACCTTTTTTTAGTATCTCTTGGAAATTCACTATACTCCAATAGCTTATATCTGTGTGCTTGCCTCCAAATCATCTGGACAGTTATTTCTCCTACTATGTTACCTTTGTTGACTTCCTGCTCACCTCTTCACTGTCAGTTTCATATGGTTCTTATATTTATACTTTAAAATTATGTATCTGTTTTCCCCTCAACTGAATAGCTTTACTAGCTCTAATTAGCACTTAACCTCTTCCAAAGGAAAAATAAATCAGCAAATTCAGCCAACTGGCCACCTTTCTTTGCCATCTGTCTCCTAACTTCTGTTGTATTATACCATTTTGCCAAGATAGATATATGCAGTTCTATACCATAAATTCCAGTTGATTTAGCTTTAGATTTGTATCTAAATGGTTTATTCCTCACAACTTCTTTCTGCCAGTGTGTGTGTGGAGGAGGGGGCTGGTTTTTTAAGACAGTCTTGCTATATAGCCCAGGGCCTCAAACTTGGGGTGATCCTCCTGCCTCAGCCTCCCGAATGCTGGTCACAGGTGTGCACCACCACCACACGCAGCCCAAGCACTTATTCTCAATGTATCATCAAGGGTTTTATCATAGTGACAAGACAAAGTACAATTCACTTTTCTTTGTGAATGAGTTAAGAGCATTTAAGTGTATCTTTAGCTATCTCCTGGTCAACTCTTTACCTAACCAAAGTGTCTTTTCCTCAGGTGCTGTGACATGCATATGGATGAATGAACAGTGCAGCAGTGTCATCACAGGCGGGGAAGACAGACAAATTATGTTCTGGAAATTGCAGTATTAAGTGCCTTTTCTTCCCCTAACTCTATTATAATGGATTTTTAAGCCAATCTTTCAAATGAACTGGTAAATGTGCAATGATAGTGATTAGAAGTTTTACCACATGGAAAATGTGTGGTTTTTAAATCATGGTTATTTCACTGTAAGCCAGTATTTGCCATCTTCTAAAGCAGATAAACCATGGCAGTGTTGGGGAGAAAATGTTACATTTGCAAGGCAGATAATCATCACAATGTGACGATGGATGGAAGACAGGACTGGGGAGCAAAGAGAAGCTAAGAGACATGAACCTGGAGAACACTGAAACATTGGAAAGCACAGAAGAGTTAAGAATTTTCTAGGAAAATGTGTAGCATCCTCTGCTGCTTGAGTCACTCCTGTCTTCCCTAATTTACCAGTTGCTGCCACTGGGTTTTAGGTATGTGTTTTCATGGAGTGGTTACTTTAAATAATGCTGTACCCAGATTCTAAGAACCTGGGGAAGGACTAGCAGTTCTTGTTTTAACAGTATGGGCACTGGGTATAGGAATGGTTTGTATTAAATTAAGCTATTAAATGCTCATTTTTTACATTAAAAATATTTTTCTCTAATAAAAACCGTTTTCATTTTCTTAGTTAAGTAATTTGTAACAAAGACTAGTAAATAGTAACTTTTAAGAGTCACAAATATTCTTTCTAGAAAACCATACTTAGTGACAGGAATACAGTTTTTGTTTTTCAGACCCAAGTCCAAATACCGAGGTAGCTAGTCAAACTGGGAAATGTTAAATTTCAAACAAGGTACAATATACAGCAGTAGCACTGAATTTCTCTCATATTTAACCTCTGGATCCAGTTTATGCGATTAAATTTTTCTGTATGCTTTAAAAGCACTGTTGTATCTTGTAGGCAGAATGACATGAGAACAAATCTGAGTTTTACCATTAAATATGTGGTTAGTGGTGTTGCTGGAGAATCAAGCACTTCACTGAGTTCCTGCTGTATGACCCAAAGTGCACAGGGTGAACCAGCCCCACAGGCCCAGTAGAAACATGGCTCCAAATCTTTGTCTGTGGGCTGTTCTCAGGGAGTACAGTTTTCCAAGGCCAGAGGAAATTTCACGTGACCATCCTTAAGGTTATGCACAATTTTAATATGTGACAAAGTTACTAAATTAAAAGCAACTAAAATTTAATTTTTACTTTTACATTTTTAATTGGATAGCATGAAACAGAATGAAGGGGGAAAAAAAGGACAGACTGTCAGTGTCATTCTTTTTGCAGGGAGGAATCAGTAACAAAATATCAGGAAAACATTCTAAGGCCATCCTAAAGTAGCTAGGCTACAGGTTAAGACTGAAATGCCAAAATTATTATCCCACTTAATCTACAAATGAAAGTGCAAAGTTTATCCTATCTGGTATAAGAATTTTCACATGAAATATATAGTAATTTTTTTTTCAGAAAGGGATACTGGCAACTTTTAGAAGAATTTTCCACTATGCAATGACTAGAAAATCTCAACTCTAAGCAGCTATGATTATAGCTCATTAAGTATCAGTAAACTGTTCTGGGCTAGTGTACATTTCAGTTTAATACAGAACTATACTCTGGCTTTAGAAAGGCAGCATTAATTACATTTTGGCTTATATTCTAGATGCTTAACAGAGTTAAGGCGACAGTCAAGCATAATAAGTGAAGGTAGTTAAAATTTAAACACAATCTTCATCTCTTGCAACCTGCATACACTGTATAATGCTTATATGGAATGAAACCAGTGTGACTTAATTGGTGCTTTACACACAGAGAACTTAAAAATATTAGAGGCAGTCATACTAAACATACTGTGAAGTTAAAAATGCAAAGATACCACAGAACTAAATACGAACGGCACTATGCACTAAGAGAAATATGACTGGTTCTCACGCAAAGCTAAGCCTGCATCCATCATCCTAATCACAATGTTTATAAAAACATCAGGTTTCTAGTAGAGAAACTATCCTAGGAAAGTCAGTAAGTCTTCTGAAAGTTTCACATGTGAAAAACCAGAATAAGGCTACAACTATCTTGAATCCAAAGAAGGTGATCAGATGAAACAGTTAAGATTCCCAGCCATGACGTAAGATAGAAGGTCCTCATGCAGCATATGTTCCCAGGCTCTAGGAAAGCTCCACGTGCGTAACGCAGAAGTTGCCAAAGGAGGAAACTGGAGAAGTTCAGTTGTGTTTCTGTTGTGTCAAGACTTTTAAACCTCAGGAATGGTGTGATCCATCAGGCTTTTCATAATGCTTGGTGCCATCCTACAAGAGAGTTACTTTGATTACACACTTAAGTTTTTTTTCCAAAATGCTGTGTTAATCCAAGAAAACTCCCAATTCCAATTTAACAGCTAAAGGAATCTACAAGATTGGGAGAAAAAAGGAATGGTCTTTTCAAGAATTCAGATCTGAAGGTCAGTCTGGCAATCTATTGACAAATGTGCAATGTGAAAGGATATCTGTATCATGGCTAGGCAAATTAGACAGGATGTAAAGTAAGGCCTTGTATACTGAGATTTGTGGCTAAAAAGAACAAGGCCACAATGAGTTGGAAAAAATGGGGCAGGGCACATATCCAGTGGTTTTAAAAAAGGAAACCCTGGAACAATCAGTTTTGACTAAGCTTGTTTCTTCTAGAGTAGTTAGCTGTGTTTGACCCAAAAGCCAACATAGACAAACATTTATTTCACTGTAAGGGCTATTACGACTTTTGAATTTCATTTCCACATCCATGATAAAGATTCTGAAAGAATCCAAGGAAATGTGGCAAAAATGGCTTTGACAGAAGCTAGGATGTAAAAAGCTCTAGAGAAAGTAACCCATGCTGGCCCTCTTCCAGTTCTCTTCACTCAGCTTTTCAGTTCACCGTCCTGCAGGCAGACTGCAGCATCACACACCTCTACCTCCCTCTTCAGATGCTAGAGAGAACTGAAACTGTTTTCTCAGCTTCCTACAGGCAACAATTCTTCATCATGAACAGTTTTCTAATAAGCAGATGAAGTGTGGGCAGAGGGCAAGTGTCTGTACTCAAGTATGCCACCTTTTTAAAATTTTTAAACTAGACATCATCAAAGTTTAGCAATGATACGTTGACTATTATCTCATACTTGGAAAGTTGGGAGGGGTCATCATTACTGATTAAGTCCCCTGATTTAAAATTTTTAAATTTCTAGATAAATACCAGTATCATTCCTTAAGTAAAAGGGAATTAAAGGAAAGTACAGTGCTTAAATTAAGTCAGATGATCATACACAATAAGTTGAAAAACTTACCGTTTAATAATATGTTCAAAGATAAAAGCAGGCATGATTGTTATGGTAACTACAGTCCCCGATGTTGAAAGTATGTCTGCTATTTGAGAATCCTGATGAAGACACAATGAAAATGAATTTCACTTAAGTTTTATTTAATAAACATAAAACCCTCACTCTTGGTAAAGAAATATACACTATACATCCCATTAGGTTTTGCTATTAAGTCTCCAAAATTCTGAACCTTGGTATTTCTCAGTTTATTCTACTTTTCTGTATTAAAATTCTACAGAATACAGTTTTACAGCTATTTAGAAAACTAACTCAAGCTGAATGTACTAAACCGAATCAGTTCACTAAGAGTGAATGATTTTCCCTAAGTACAATAAAATACATTCTCACAACTGTTTTCGAGAGTTTATGAAATAAGCTCTTAAAACCTATAGACCTTAAGGTAGATTTAAGAATTTGTAGAGAAAAATAGAACTAGTGTGATCCAAAATTATTACTCATTTCCTGGACAGAGAAAGTTGGACCATTTATTTACAATGTCATCAACACTTTCACTGCTCATGCTTACAGAGGATTCCAGCTTAAAGTACTTCAGAGGTCACTTGGTCCAACTTCCTCATTGTAGAAGAATTCCAGATAACATCCTCTCATTTTCTACCAAGTTTTCATATTTTGTAGGTCAATATGAAAACAGCACCACCTAAATGGTCAAAAGGTATTTTCTACAATATAACCCACAGTACAACCAGGCACAAGGTCTTTTCCTTACCTTCAATCCAATGACATTCTGTCCATTGATTTCACATATGTTATGTTCAGTGAGAAGACCATTTCTGGCAGCAGAACTATCTTTTACTATGGATGTTATTTTTCCATTTTTAAAGATAAAACCAACATGTCCAGTACTATCCTTGTGCATGGTAACTGTCCGCTCAAAGGGCCTATAAACATGACCAAAGGGTTCAATTTAAATTTTAATTCCAAGGTTATCATTTCTATAGACTTCATAAACCATAAATTCTGCCAGATTTGAGACTTTGTAATATAGTTAATAACTTAAGGTTTTGGTATTGTGCATACACAGAATATGAATGTCTTTGGGTAACATTTTCTTAAATATCATGATTTGACCAACTAATCAAGATTTCCTTTAATCATCAGACAGCTGAACATAATTTTTATGCAGTTTATTGATAAGCTTTTTCCTTTAAAATTCACCATTGTTTTGCATTAACAATGAAATAGGTTTTGAACTACACCACTGAAGTAAAATTGAATTTTTATTAACTTTTAGTGTTTCTTGGAGCCTATTCTTAGAATGTTTTTTAAACTTAAAACCTTTACAATATTTCTCCATCTTGATTTTGAAAATGTTATAGAAGGGGTCCTCCCCCTACTAAATAGAAAAGTAGAAGCAAGCCCCATTTGCAAAGGAAGACTCACAGCTACTACAAAACAACAGCCAACTTAGTAGCTATCACATCAGTTACACTTGACCACTTATCTGTAGTTCAATGTTACCTATCATAAGGGTTTTAGAATCAACCTGTGTAAAATTCAGTCACATCTTCCTGTTGGTCCAACTTATTAACTCCTTGAAATCTTTAAAAGTTCCAAATGAACCAACTTCTACAGAAAATTTAATTTTACTAACTAGAGTTTCATGACCACCAAACTACTGTATTTGGTTTTCAAAACTAGACTTCATGGAGTTCTGTGTAGGCTCCAGCTCTCAAAAGCAGGACCCCAGAATTGATATGCTACTTAATTCTGAGATATTTCTATTTTCTAGAGTGATACAGACAGAAAATACCTAAATTAGGATTATTATAATCTCTGAAGTATGATGTATAAGTATAATCAGAATTATATTTTGAAAACTCAAAACTATGTAAGAAAAATCTGCAGCACACAACTGCAAGACTCTCAGGCTCACTTAGTAACATGTGATCATTTTCTACATCAAAATACTGTATGGAATGCTGAAAGCCCAAGAAAATAGAAAACTAGCCTAGAATTTCCATTCTAATTTTTTTCACTAAAAGCTTACCTGTCACGAATGGTCATGGTAATCTTCTCTCCAAAAGCTTGTTTGAGCACCTTGTGTGCTTTATCAGAACTCCAGCCTGCACAGTTCTCACCATTGATCTGGAGGACTTGATCCCCAAATCTCAGGCCAACCAATGAAGCTGGAGAATTGGCCTGGACTAGCTGAACAAATATACCCTAGGTGATAAGAAAATTACTGGTCATTTACCTTTACTGTTAAGATACACTTAAAAAGTGCTGCAAAACTGGAAAACAACTGGTGAGTTAAAAAAAAAATCTATCCTAGTAACCAAGAAAAAAAAATACTGCATGAGTACAGTATGTCAAATTACCCCCTAAAAACCTGAAAATTTATCAAGGTAATTCCCCTGAAAAATAAAAGAAAAAAAGATGGTAATTTCTCCTCCAAATTATGACCCACCTAAACAACCTCACTCAATCACTTCACAATAAAAAGACTTAGGTAAGGGCAAGAAATTTAGCATGGTGCCATGCCTGCCTCACAAGCCCAAGGTCCTGAGTTCAATCTCCAGTACAAAAAACAAAACAAAACTAGGTAAAAAGTGGGACAGCTTTAATAAAATAAAGTCTCTGAATCTGACAGAAGAATATCAACAGGTATTAGCACATGATCATTATTTTGGAAGAAAGTCAACTGTTAGAATATAGGTGATTTCTTTTACAGCTTTAAAAATGACAGTTTAAGACCATAGTTCTGCCCTGTAAAAGATTCCTTAACCCATTTGATAAATTGTGCATGATCAAGTATTTAGCATTTAAGACTAAAATGATTAGCATGTTCACTATCACATAAGCTCTCATAAATGATCTACAATATAATAAATCCAGAAAACAAACACCAAGGAATTAAATTCACAATGGGTATTTTTCTGGAAACTCAGATGTTGAACCAAATATAAGAGTAAAACTGGGGACGTAAAAATACATTGACAAGGCAGACCTTTTCTACAATTGTAAGCTAAATCAAACATGGTCTGTTAAGGTGGTGAGAACCTGGCAGGCACCACAACAAATGGACCAATATGCTTTTGTCAAGTAGACAAACTCACTGAGGGAAAAACAGGATGGGGGTCAAGGGACTACAAAGAATGTCTTTTCTTTTTAGGATGGAGCAAAGAACAACAACAACAAAATAAAAAAATAAAAACCTGGCAAAACAGATAGCAGTAAGGGAAAAGAAGCACTTCAGTGAGGACTTCCAAACTAAGCACATTAATACATCCTGACTACACTATAAATATGCAAAAATAATTAATACCCTGTGCTTGCAACAGTACACAGCACTTACTTTGTATGTGGAAAGGCTGGATGACTCACTGTGCTAACAAGACAACACTGAAACACTACCAGAATATCCTCAACAATTCTAAATGTTCTTCACAGAGAAAACCTGTTTTCATGTCTCAATATGCTAAGGTAAGAGGTAAAGTATAAGTTGTTAAGGTAAAGTAATACTGTTATGTAAATTAATGGCTGCCCTAATTAGAAAGAAATTTGTTTAGACCATCTAACAAATTGAATAATCATAATCTGGCTTAAAACTATGTACAATTCTATTATCACTGCTTAGTTCTTTCCTTAACTTTCACATACACTGCCTTATTTCAGTGCCAGGATTCTACTATATAAATTCTACTGTATGGGTACATAATATATGTAACACCAGTGAACTTTAACTTCAGTTAACATACTCAGAAAAAAAAAAAAAATTTGAAGTAATGCAGTCAGTTCTAATTATGCTTCTTCAAAATAGGGCATCTCCAAGACAGCAAACCCAAATTAACAGATATGCAATATTCTTTATTCTACATGTACCATTACAATTAAAGCATTTCCATTTCAAGTTATTCTAACAGTAGTCACAATATACAGTAGGCTATTCAAAGATAAATCCAAAGATATTTCAAATACTTACATTATCTACTGATTTAAGCCTGAGCCCAATTTTTCCATCATGATCCTTACACAAAATAACTTCACGAATCCCTTGTTTTATTTCTGCTCTACGAATTCCAACATCATTGCCTGTTACCGGGGCCACCATGTAGTTTATACTGGAAGGTCTTGCTACCAATTGCTGACAAAAACAATGTGTCAATACTTAGAAACAGTACCTTGAAAAAAATCTGAGATGATTAACCAGAACATACTGAATTATGGATTTCCAAAAGTTAATCCACAAATAATTTCCTTCAGATAAAGTTTCATGTCTGCAAAAATGTCACTTTATCCATTCCTATAATTTAGTCCCACATTTATCATCACAGATTCAATAACTTACCCTCTACTGTCTTCTGAATTACTGATATTTGTTTCATGTGAGAATCCCTTGTTATTTCTGCTCTACGAATTCCAACATCATTGCCTGTTACCGGGGCCACCATGTAGTTTATACTGGAAGGTCTTGCTACCAATTGCTGACAAAAACAATGTGTCAATACTTAGAAACAGTACCTTGAAAAAAATCTGAGATGATTAACCAGAACATACTGAATTATGGATTTCCAAAAGTTAATCCACAAATAATTTCCTTCAGATAAAGTTTCATGTCTGCAAAAATGTCACTTTATCCATTCCTATAATTTAGTCCCACATTTATCATCACAGATTCAATAACTTACCCTCTACTGTCTTCTGAATTACTGATATTTGTTTCATGTGTACCATCACTTGTTGCAAAGCAGCATTTCACTCACCAACATAAGCACATCGATGACAGCGGTCCCTTATGATTGTATTACCTAATGATGTCATGGCCATCTGTGTAACAGTACACTATGATGTGTGCACAATGATGAAATCTCATGAATCATTTCTCAAAACATATTCCTGTCTCTAAGCAACACATGACTACCTCAAATTTATTATCTTTGCACTTAAAGGTCATAAAGGTCATACAATCCTTTTGAAACACATTTTCCAGAAGGTTCATTATGGGGCATAATCTTTGACAAATCTATTCAAAATTGCTGGAAAAGGAGCAACATCGTTACCTCACTATGTTATAATGAGGATTAAAAACAAATTGCATGTTACATAGGTCCTAGCACATGTAATATAGTCAAATACAATATCTCCTCCCCTTTAATATGAATTAACAAGTTGAATGCATAGCCAGACTGCTTGGAATAATAGCTTTTTGAGACTCGAGACAGAAGCCTGCCCAGGTTAACAGTCCAGTGCAGGGATCTAGAAGGCCATGATTCTGAAACCACAAACCGGCACAGTGGTTAGCAGCAGAGGCCTCTCTCAGGCTGGATTGAGACTTGAAGCTCACAGGGGGACAGCAAAGAGTCACCTCAATAAATGCACAGCAGACTGCATTGGCTGAAATGAGAAGACAACTAAACAAGACTAAAAACCATACTGTCTGATCAAAGGCAACCCCAAAGGGCAGTGACAGAACAATCTGAAACAATCAGCTGGTCTCCCTGAACTGGCAATGAAGGAAGATCTAGAAAAAAAAAATGAGAAAGAATTTCTCAGATAACAAGAGATGTGTCCACAGTGAAAGACATGATTAATAACTCTAGACCAGACACAGATTAAAAAAAAAAAAAAGCTGAGTAACATGTCAGAATCCCAGCATAGGAAATAAATGGAATCCATAAAACAGATGCAAACATATCCAGGAGATTAAAAACTCCACTGAACATTTACATAGCAGAATGAGCCAATGTGAGGACAGAATATCAGATACAGAATACAGGATTGTGATTAGTGACCAGAAAAAGAAAGATGTCTTAAAAATAGCAAAGGACCACAAGAAGTCAACCCAGCAGTTGCTAGCAAACAACAACAAAACACTGATCAGAGTCAATAAAGAAACAAGAGATAGTGTAAACAACATAAAAAAAACAAAACAAAACTGTTTACAGAAGTAACAACAGAAAAACTTCCCAAGCAGAGGAAAAGAATTTGACATACAGAATAAGTGAGGCATTAGTACTTCAACTAGCTGTGATCAGAATAATAGCTAAGCTAGGGCTTTGTGTCTGGTATCACATTTCAAGTTTCTAATCTTAAGTTTTCTGCTCATTTTAAATGAATTCCTTCCTCAACCAAAGCAACAGTGAGGGAAGAATCTAACAGTGACTTCAAATCTGTCACACAGAGACCGCTAAGAATTCTGATAGTCAGAGAACCAGTGACAGGAAAGAACCCAGTGACAAAAACATCACAGACTAAAACCTTACTCATAATTATCAGTAATCCTCAAAGCATATTTAAAGCTGATAACTGACCAGGAGTAACAAACACATCTACATAAACAGAAATTGGTATATACTGAAAGTAGAATACAATGCCTGAAGAAATTACTTAAAAAGGTTTATAAGGTTTCAAAAGAAACAACTACAGCTATAAAGAAAAACTTGAGCAAATGAATTAGTTTTACTTTATGTGCTTCAGAATTATCATAAATTCCTAAATGAGTAAATATTTTAAAGCTGACAGTATCACACACACACACACACACACACACACACACACACACACACCACATACCACAAAGCCAGAAGGATTACATAATCTACAGCACCAATGCTCCTGATGAGTGTTGGAAACTGAGATATGAGATGTAAGGTCAAGGGGACTCAGGCTACTAGAATTTATATGTCTGTATCTGAAAAAAAGAAAGAGCTCCAAAAAACTGCACTGGGGTCCCCCTATTCAATCTGTGGCTGGATATTAGTCATGTGTGAAGTGAGGCACCCCAAGACTGCAAAAGATGGTCGGGGCTTTGACAGTTCCCGACCACATGAGGTTGAGGGACACTGAAGCGCTCACCAACCAGAGGGGAAAATGCCTGAATACTCAAACAGTAGACACAAGTTTCTAGTAATGAAAATATCCTAACCTTCTAGACCTACTCTGACAAAGTATATAGCAGGCTCTAGGAGATCAAGGTGATCCCTGTATAACTTAACCTCCTGCCAGAACAAGTACCAACACTCAGATACAACAAAATCTAGCACCTAGGTGATACACAAGATATAAAATTCACAATGTTTGGCATCTAACTAAAAAATAGGTGGCATAAGAACAAGCTGGAAAATATAAAATAAGAAAATTAACAGAGACTCTATAATGACAGAAATAGATACTTCAAAATGAATGTTTAGGTTACCTAGTAGGTATTAAAGGAATAGGGGAAACCAGCTGAGTTGTTGCCTAAGGACAAAGGAAACAAAAAATGTTTAGTGAATAAAGAAATCATAAATGTTAGCTAGGACCTCATGATCATAAGAATCATAGTAGCTATGATTATCTTCTCTGCTTATATTTGTAAATTTTCTGTAAATATAGCAATTAATCTTCTTGTTCCTTCATATCTCCCTTTACTTTTATAAATTAATTGTTAGTAACGATTAGCTTTACATTTCTGTCTTTGAGATAAAAATATTATATAAAAAAAACCCCATCTTTTTTAACCACTCATCAGATGATGGGTATTTGGGTTGTTTCTAAGATTTAGCTATTACAAACTGTGCTGTTATAAAGATGGCTGCCTATATATCACTGTGGTATGATGCTTTTTTTTAAAATTTAATTTATTGGTACATTCTAGGTATACAGTACAGTTACATTCATTACTGGGATCTTGTACCTTTACGTGCCAGGTCTTGGTTCTCATTTTTTTGCCTTATCCCCACCCTCCCTTCACCCCCTCCTCCCCTCCCCACCTTCAAATACTATTCCATTTTTACATTTTCTCATATTTTTTTCCTTTTCCCGTATTCCCCTTTCCCTATCCTTCTCACTGTCCCTACACCTTGGTATGATGCTTTTAATTCTTTTGGGAAGATATCCAGAAGGGAAATAGTTGAGTCAAATAGGACATCCAATCCTAGTTTTATGAGGAATCTCCACACTGATTTCCACAGCAGATGCACCAGTCTACACCCCCACTGGCAGTAGAGAAGGGTTCCTTTCTCCCCACAGCCCTGCCAGCATTTGCTGTTGGTTGATTTATGTGATGGAGCACTACTCAGCCATAAATAAGGATGAACTTAAGACATTTCTAGGTAAATGGATGCACCTTGAGAACATAATCAAGTGAAATAAATCAAACACATATGTAAATATTGAATTATCTCTCTGTTGTGAGAAACTGAAAGTGAAAATAAGGACAAAAAATAATACTAAATATTGTGAAATAGGAAGAAACTGTTTAGAATTATACAAAATGTGAGATACCTTGTCAATACTTAAAATATTTTATGCAAAAAAAAAGGTATAGTATTATTAGGCAATGAGCTGAGAGCAATAAGCAAATGAAAATATATTCCTTTAAGATCATGATACACAGTGTATGTACCACAGTTATTCCCTAATAATTTTTGTTATGAAAATTTTTTCATAGAATAGCTTTTATGTATTTTTATTAATATTTACTTGTAATGTTAAAATTTAAAAATTTTTAAAGATAAAAAAATTAAACTAGGAATGTGTACAGAGAGGTAGTTAATACCACATAGTAATCAATACCATAACCACTGCTCAGAGAGGCCACAATAATTAGTACTAGCCCTTTCTAGAGAAAGGGTTAGAGCATTTCATTTATATAAGGGGTAATTGGCTTAATTTTGTACACCCATGAGTTTGAAGGATTTTTATATGTTAAAGGCTACAAACAAATGAGGTCTATATAATACAGAGTATAAACTACCATCAATGCCTCAAATGAATGAGATGGAGCACTTCATAAAAAAAGTTCGTTAAATCTTGACTTTTATGAAAGAGAATGCATCTTTAATTAAAGGGAAAGTATAAGTTATTATTGTCATCACATGAAGTTAAAATATTCACAGAAGTGCTTGGCTAATCAATAGAGTTTGGTAGCACTGAGTAACAAGCTACTGTGTCAGCTCCAAATTCCCTCTTCTACTGTCTAGGTGGTGATGCTGGAGCTACATTTTCCTTTATAGCTATTTCTGGTTGGCTTCCATCACAGGAGAGACTGGGAGGGATAAGTTCCTGTTCCTTCATGCTGGTTTCCTACTCCTGTCAATACTGCCAGAGCCTCACCCTGAACCCAGGCACAGCAGCAGTCTCTGGTCAGCTTTTCCTGACACTCTCAGAACCAGCCTCATTATAACCCCTCAGACGGTACTTCCAGCAGTGTCCCTCCTCCAAGGTCTGCAGCCCAACTCTGGGATTCTGTGCCCAAGCTTATAGGTTCTCAATTAAACCTCCTCCCTGTCCTAGGAGACGCAACTAACTGCCTGCAATTACACTTGCATTCCATTTTTGCTTTCTCAATTCAACTTCTTTATCTAATTTCTCAAATTATCTCTGTTGAAATACAGTGGGCCCTCAAGTTACAACTGGCCTACATAGGAACAACTTGGGTTAATTATGTTAATGGAAGATTCATCTGCCATTAATCTTCCATAATAAGATTCTCTTATTATCTATACCATGTACCCCAGTAAACATCCAGATCTCAGCTGTACTGACTTACAACCAACTTAAATTGCATACAGCCCTCTAGAAGTGATCAAGTTTGTAAGTCAGAGGTCCACTCCATTATGACTTGTTTTCCCAAATGGATGCTCACCAATGCAATCAAGTTTTCAGTAAATACTTGGTAAAAAAAATAAATGTGAGGCACTACATTAAGCACAGGGGTATGGCAAGAGGATGAACATGGATTCTGTAAGAAGTATTTAATTTCAATTACAGTAAATTGCCATAAAGTACTATGGTCTTATAGCAATAACTTTAATGAAAGGTTATCAATTATGCTCTATTTAAGTCTAAAATATCTAGAGTCTGACCACAAGCAGCTCTGAACTTCAGAGGAAACAGTTAAAAGAGTATGAGTAAAGCAATTATATGATGGATCTGTACTTATAATGATATTCTAGCAGCAGTTTAATATTGTTTGAAACAAGAAATTACAGAAAATAAAAAGATCACTTTTAAAATCTATATAAAAAATTAAAAAATAAAAAATAAAATCTACATTAGAAGTAGAGAAACTCAGTACAGTTACAGTATAATTGAAATAGATAAACCGAAAACAAGAAAAATTACAGAAATAGAATCAGTATGTCTCTGTAACTGACTTAAATGAAGATGACCAAGGAGAATAGAATGGACTAGAAAAAGGAACCTGCATCTAAGTCCTAATACATTCAAAGAGTGGTATCAACACAAACCTTAAGTAGATAACTTAAGAAGTAATATTGAGAAGAAGCCTAAAATCTAAGGAGAGGATAAATTTAAAGTTACAAGGCTGTGAATTAGGCTACAAAGAAGAGTGCTAAACTATATATGAAATGTAACTTAATTTAATTCAAAATTAATTACACTATACATACCCCCTGAACTGGTGTTCCAGGGACCATGGCACGTACCTCCTCTTCATTTAAATTCAGGCCCATGTATTGAGAAAGCTCCGGATACAGTTTGGGATAGAGATCTAAAATGAAAGAATGAAGAAAAAGGCACTGGCAAAATACTCGAAATAAAAACTCTTACTATGGCGTCTACTTTTTTTAAAAATCACATTTAAGTTTTAAAAAGTAGGATAATTTAAAACCGAAATTTAGAAAAGTACCTCCCCCTTATCTATTTAACAATCAGAAATGAAAATATAGAAATTGTTTAAGGTGAAAGTCATAAAACATGAACATTCTGACCTGACACAGTCCCAGATTTCTAGAACAGTAAATCCTTGGAGTCCCAGGGGGACTTGTTTCAGGATCCACCACAACAGATCCCAAAACTTGCATATATGTTTAGGTTCCTTATATAAAATGTCACGGTATCTTCATAAAATCTGTGCACAACTTCTTGTGGACTTTAAATTACCACTGGATTGCTATTGTACTTAATATAATCCAAATGGCATGTAAATAACTGTTACACTGTTTAGAGAACAAGAACAAAAAAAACTACACGTTTAGTGCAGATACAATTTTTATTCTATTTTCACTCTATAGTTGGCTGAATCCGTGGACCCCATGGACATAGAGGGCCAAGTACTCAAAAGTAGAAATAATTTTTCCAAATAAAAGTTATCTTTTCTGCTTTGTTTTAAGAAAGTTAATGCAGTCAGGCATGGTGGTGCATGTCTGTAATTTCAGCTATTCAGGATGCTGAGGCAAGATGGTCACAAGTTTGAGGTCAATCTGGTCAACTCAGCTAGACTCTGTCTCAAAATAAAAAGTAAAAAGGGCTGGGGATGCAGCTCAGAGCTCTACAAATTCAATACTCAGTTCCTGCCTCCACCTCCAGAAAAAGGAAAAAGAAAGGCATATTCCAGTGAAATCTTAGAAACACATTTTTTAGAGATTAACAGTATGTACTTAATTGTTAAGTATTTATGTACTATTCCTAATAGCTTTTTTCTATGATGTTTGTGACTTAAAGTGTTTTCTAAAAGGAACATTGTAGTAGCTGTAAAACAAGGTTACAGGCCATGAAAACAAATTTAACATTAATTTTGCATCTTTAAAAGTACTGTTACTTTGAGGCTCTGATCAGAATCTCTTTGAACCTTGAAGGAAAAGGGAGTCCTGGACTTGAGAACTCTCCCAAAATGTAGTTTGAGAATTTCAGAAGCTCCCATGGAAGAGAAAAGAAGTCTGTACGGGAAGCTCAGGTCAGCAGTGTGGGAACATAGTTCCCAGGTCAGGCTGTGCACAAATGAAGCAGTCTTGTGTTGGGGACTTAAGAGGCTCAACTCATAAATCATTAATCATAAACACTTCACATTCACAATTTATTCTTTCTCTTGATTAAATAATTATTTTTCAAATAATCATTTTTCCCTGTTGCTACTAGATCATTTATCCACTATTTTATTACAGCATCTCAAAAAAAAAAAAAAAAAACTTTTGATTTCCTATTTCAGCAAATGAAGACGTAACAATGATTTCTGTTCTAGAGAATAAACCCAAAGTATAAACTTACTTCCATCTTGTGAGATGGGGGCAGAAGCTTCTGACAAAATTGCTGGGTTGGCAGGGTTTGAAGAAAAGGTGGTTTGAGCCTTAAAAAGAAAAGAAAATTCTAACATGCTAAATACTTAGTATCCCAACATAATTTACATGTTAAATCCAATTCTTTCAAAAAGAAACTAAAACCTGATGTATTATTCAAGAAAGCTTTTATTTCAAACACTTTAACAATAAATTTTTCAAAGGAAATCTGCAAATTAAAAAGTATATTTCATATTTTAAGTAATTTTAAGCCTATCATAAATTTGAATAAGCATTATTCCATAATGTTTTGTGACAGCATTTAATAAAGCTGCTCCAAATTAGTAAGTATTCTTAAAAATCATTCTAAATTGAATGGCAACACATTTTATATTTTCTTCTTTTACTAATCAATCCAAATAAAAACATTTTACTTACGTAAGGAAAAAAGCTCAAATATAGTCATATAAAAAGCTACATATAAGCAAAAAGCTAAAACTCATACTTAAATTTACCATTTTAGCATACCTGACTAAAATAATCTTTATTTACCAAGTATGAGAAGGAATTAATTATAAACCATGCTATGCCGGGGATGTAGCTAAAACAAACAAACAAACAAACAAACAAAAACATGCTAAAAGTATACTGTCACTAACATAAAAGAATGATAGTATAATTTGTAACTCTAAAACATGTTAAAATTACTTTAACAAGTAAATATGTGTCAGCACTACCCACATTCAGGTAGCTTCATTTCTCTTTCAGGGTTTCACAGCCTATGTCATGTTAAGTATCACACTGATGGAAATATTTTGTCCTTTACAGATTAACCTTCTGAAATAACCATGTGATTTTATACTTATATCTCAACCCAGCACTGAAATCAATACCAAGAATACTTTCAAAGAGAGATGGAAGCTTAAATGACAGCCTACAAAACTGAAAGGTGTTAGCTCATTTGGATTTTAAATGTTCTGCTATACTGTCCTTGTTATTAAGTCATCTTCAGTATTTTACAACTTGTTAAGCATTCTCAAAATGCAGCATGAAAATCCTCATAATTGTAAACAACAATCTACAAATTCACCATTGAAAGTTCTTACCAGCTATCAGCTAAAAGAGCTAGTAGCCAGTTAATTTTTTTTCTTCAATCATCTCTAAGGAAAAAACAAAACTGTTCAGTCCTAAAAAGAAATGAGGTATCCAGCCATGAAAAGACATGAAGATGCCAGGCAATGTGGCACACACCGGTAGTCCCAGCACCTGGGAGACTGAGACAGGAAGATCGCTCTAAGTTCAAGGCCAGCTTGAACTACACAGGGAGACCCTGTCACAAACAAAGACATGAAGGAAACTTAACTGCATCGTAACTAAGTGTAGGAAGCCAATGTGTAACGCCTACATGTGCTATGACTCCAGCTATATGACATTCTGGAAAAGGCAGAGACAGACTCTGTACCAAACTCTATATGCCTGTAGAGACAGGAAAAAGACTATATAGTTGTAGCTACCAGAGGTTATAGGAAAAAGAAAGATTAAACAGTCTGAACACAGAGGTGCACAGTATTTGCTTGTTTACAGCACTGGGAACAGAACCCAGGTCCCAGTCATTGGTAAAGTAACAGCTCTACTAATTGAACTATATCCCTAGTACCCAAGAGAATTTTAGGGCAATGAAACTATTCTGTATGAATGACAATGATATATACATGCTGTCATACTTCTGTCCAAGCCTACAGAACATACGGCATACAGTGAACCCTAATGTACACTATAAACTCTGGGTGATATTCATCAACTATTAACAAATATACAGCTCTGGTACAGATCAGATATTCAGTGAAGAGGCTTATAATTAAGTGTGGGGGTGGTGGGATAATATGCTGCCTGCTCAACATTACTGTGAACTATAACTGCTCTAAAATATATCCTATTAATATTAAATAACTGCTTTTTATTGTTTTATATTCTTTTATTAATACTTATGCAAAGAATACTTAAGAATATATATAGAAACTCTCCAAAAGTTACATAGTTCATCATGTATCTGAAGTAAAACTAAAAGATATAACAAGGGCTTAGGATTGTAAACTATTAAATGTGGCCGATTATTTCAAGCTTAATTTAAAATCCAAAACAGTTTAAAAGGTGGGGAGAGGGTGCCTCAAAGAACAGGAAATTACTGCCAAACCCTATTTGTATCACTGACAGAAAGCATGTGGAGAAATCATGTTTGGGGAGCTACTGTGTGATACGTGGTCAGAGTTACTATGCAACTGAGCACCTAGGTTCTATCTTTATTTCTTAAAAGGTATTTCTAAGTACAGGAACCACAGGTCCCTGTTAGGATTTGAACTGGAGAAGTTCATGATTATATGATGCTGAAAGCCACAGCTTCACAGCTACTATAAAATAGCTTACAAAATATGAACTGCCAGTTCACTGTTGCAATTTAGCTTTGCTGTGGTGGTACAAAAGGCCAGTAGTAAGAAAAATGAATACTACATTCCTCTATAATACCTTTTCAGGAACATCTCAAAAACCCAAAATCAAATATAAGTATCCATTTTAGAGAATGAAGCCAAAAAAATATAAGCTAACACTGTACTGGCTAGATTAGGAATACTTTTAAAGCCAGTGGAAATAAAAGCATCATGTTTCCCTCTTGTTTCTGTTCTATTTCCCATCAGCTAGGTTTCTTCTCTGAACATAAATGATCCTCCAATGAATATTTTCTATGTAATTTGCTTGTCCTGAAATAATTCAGTCTGATGTAGATTGTAGCCTTCTTATATTTTTCAACATTTGTAAGTATCAACGATTTTTTCTGCTATTTTCAAATATCAAAAACCTCTGCTCAGGCCTGGGGATTTAGCTCAGGGCTGGGGATTTAGCGCCTGCCCCACAAGCACAAAGCCCTGAGTTTGATCCCTGGCACCAAAAAAAAAAAAAAAAAAAAAAAAAAACTCTGCTCAAAGCCAACTGTGATTAATTTAAATTCAACTCCATAAGAAGCTATAAAAAAGGTGAAAACAAAGTATATTGGTCTTTCAAAAGGGTCTTCAGATCCTTATCAATGTACTGATGTCATATTGATGGCTTAATGATTACTCTGGAAAGCTGAATACTTCATATAAGAGCTTTTTAAAAAGAAACAGTGCTTGTTTAGATGAACTGTGTGGAAATAAAAAACAACATGAAAAATACACTGATAAAATACAAAAGAAAGATGGTGAAAGAACATTTAAAACAAATGAACAAGTCACTTAAAACTTAGAAATACAAAAGCCTTGGCAGCTGCTATAGATATGAGATTTTACAAACCATGTTTTAATATCCATCCTAGACTTATGAAAAATACGGTACATGATTCCCTCCATATACCAATTTGCCCGTCCACTTAAAATTTAATCCCAACTACACATATCTTATTATTAGCACTTTCTTTTTTCCTTTCATCCCAGTAAGGCGAATCTTTTGCTTAAAACACATTTTTCAGGTTACTTAAGACTTTTTCTATGTTTTTAACAACATTTCTCCTTATTAATCAACTAAAGAAGTGCCGCCTGCCTCACAAACACAAGGTCCTCAGTTTAATCCCCAGTAACCCCCAAAAAATAAAGAAAGAAATCTCACTTTAGAGTATACTGAGGCCAGGGCCTCAAGCAAAATGCTTTTTAGGATAAGGAATTTTAAATAAACAATTCAAAAAATCATTTGGAGAATAAAGAAGCAAAGTTTGAATAAGTCATAACTGAAGATATTCTGAGTTAATAAGATAGAGTAGAAAGCAAACTGTAAACTGATGGGTTCATGATTTACTACAAATTGCCTCCATTTAAAAATATTGCTATAACAAGGGTAAAAAATGAGAACAAAAGACCTGTCATGTAAAGGTACAAGATCCCAATGATGAATGTAACTGTAGTGTATACCTAAAATGTACCGATAAACTCAATGAAAATAAATAAATAAAATATTGCTATAAATTTCAAAAATTGCAATGACTGATCCCAACTCCATATTTTCTTCTTAAACAGAAGAATGAGTCTATGAATCTAATAATACAAAAAGAACTATAAATATTTTCAATGTAATATGACTAGAAATACTGCAGTCTCTAATACAGTAATTGAGAGCATGGACAAGTGAAATGTCTGCTGCTTACTTCTAAAAGGAAAGAAATCATTACACTTTCATTATGCTTTTATACTTCTTCTCTTTTAATACTATTTACTCCATTCCTTATTTCTATACTTTTTAATTTCCCTATAAAGACTCATCATATAGAAATATCAAAAAGAAAAATATATCAACTTTACACAAAACCACAAGTGTCTAGGATTGGAATATATTTTACTAATTTAAATGTTTTATGTAATTTCAGTTTTAGTCAGAAAAAAGTCTCTTTGAAGAGTTTAAATAAAATTTTAAAGAATACTCCATGTTTATTAATTCATAATGAAAGAAGAGTTACTAATTTTCCTTTTTAGTCTACAAAAAAAGGCTTGAGTTGTAAAACTGAATACATCTACTAGTTAAGATTCTTACTCTAATTCACAAAGTAGAACGAATGTATATCACAGTATATGTTTTTAAAATTATGTAAATATACCTGAATTACTTTGTCTACTTTCAAATCTTCAAGCGATGGATAGAGAGACATTTCTGCAAGATTATCCTAAAAGGAAAAAAATTGTATTATGCAAATGTCACAGAAATGTATATAGTATGCATTGATAGAACATACATATAAACATGTACAACTATTTAATACCAATAAGAAACATTTAAATTGCTAACCATGGAAAAAATAGGAAAATCCAGGCCATCAGTTAAGAAATTGTCAACTGATATTTAAGGGTTGTTGACAATTATATCGGCATTATTTTAAACCTATCTTTAAGTAAAAGTCCCTTCATTTGACAAGTTTAGAAAACTAAACAACATAAAATCTAACCATTTTATAATTAACATGCACTAACCAAAAATATACAGGAAAAAAATAAGGGAAAACAAAAAAAGATTTTTTTTTCCTGTTTATTGGGACATTTTAGGTATACAGTACGGTTACATTCATCATTGGGATCTTGTACCTTTACATGACAGGTCTTGGTTCTCACATTTTTCCCCTTATCCCTGCCCTCCCTTCATGCCCTCCTCCCTTCCCTATTTACAAATACCTTATTTCCATTTTTTCATTTTCTCATGTTTTTTTTTCTTTTCCCTTATTACCTTTCCCCTACCCTTCCCACTTCCCCTACACCTTTAGCCCTTTTCTTCCTATTCATCTCTGCTGGTCTGTGCCTTTTGCTTTTGTTTTTTGGTACTGGGGATCAAACTCAGGCCCTTGTGCTTGCAAGGCAGGAGGGAGAACCACTGAGCTAAATCCCCATCCCCAAAACAAGGTAGTTATGTTTTTGTTTCCTGGTACTAGGGATTGAACTTGAGTCCTTGTGCTTGCAAGGAAGGCGGCGGAGCCACTGAGCTAAATCCCGGCCCCAAGAAAAGATTTTAAAGAATACCTAGTTTATACCAGTATTTGGGAACTAAACATTACCCTAAAAGACTAGCTTTAGTACAATGTTTTTGGGCTGCACAGATACATTTCCCTCTAGCAGCAAAACCTAAAAGCAGATCATATACAGTATCATAATATAAAATCTCTATCACTAAAAAACATAAATATACAGGCAGGTATATGGAAAAACAATATACTACATGATAATTTTCAGTTAATATTTTTATCTTCGAGAGAGATGCTAAGGGAAAGAGGGAAAATTCTGACTTAATTGTTCAATGTATTTTAACTACCAACTCCTTTTTGCAATAATTTAGAACAAAGTTCTCTAAAAATATAACTTGAATACATTAAATTCTGTTACCTATTGTGCAAATGAATACTTTTCACTTAACCCAACAAAACAGAATATATCCTAAAATGGTTTAGAGTTTGACATGAATACTTGAGCCAGCTATCAGCCTCCTAGTTGCAAATCCACCCCTTACTGCCTGCTCTCCAAAACTGAAGCTGAGCCTTTTAAGACTGTTCTTTGCTAATAGGCATCATGTCAAGCTACGTCAGCAGGAACAGTTGGAGGTACACTGAAGAAGAAAAGGGTTTTATTTCTTCCTGATTCCTGTGTACCACTCCAGCCAGGCTCCCGCAGTAATTGCTTCTCTAGCATCTCACATTCTATAGGGAGATTCTCAAGTACCCAGCGGCAGCACAGCAAAATGCTTCAGCAAGGTTATCTCTTCCCAGGCAGCCTTCTCAAGCACCCTTTTCACGTGGGCCTTGCAAGGAATTCCACAGTGCAGCATTCCAGAGTGCAGACTTCAGTGCGTTCCAACGGTATCCACTAAACAATATATGGCCCTCTCTTCCACAAGGCCTAAACCAAAACCCTAGGTGAGAAATTTCCTGCAGTGCTATATCTGGGTCCTAGAATTTGTGGCTACTTAATTTGCCTTTATATTCTTTAAAGGTCTTTACTCCTTACTAGCTAATCACTATTTCTTCAATCACGTTAAAGTTAATAAATTTTATTAAATTCACATTATTAAAATCACTATTTCTCTGGTCTCATTGCATAGTAAATGCTAATTTTTAAACTGATATAATTTACACACCATGAAATTCAGTCTACTAAACTATACAATAAAATGTTTTAGAATATTCATACTGTGAAGATATCCCCACTACTTAATATTGGAATATATCCAATTCCCTTAAAAAGAAATCTCATGCATCCCCATTCTACCCAGCCTCCAGCTCTAGGCAACCACACACAACCTTCCTACCTCTAGAGTTACCTATTCTGAGCATTTTATCTAAGACCATAGAATTCATGGCCTTCTGTATCTGGTTTCTTAAGCATAACCTTTTCAAGGTTCATTCACATTGTAGCATGTATCAACCCTTCACAATGCTGAATAATATTCCACTGTATATATACATTATGTTTATGCATTCATCAATCAATGACATTTGGGTTATCTGTACTTTTAGGCTATTATGAATGTTTCTAATAATGCTAATAAACATCTGCAGTACTAGTAAATAATATATGAGTTTATACAAGGTCTTGTGTAAAAATGTATCTGTAATTCTTTTGCTATACGGTAAAGAATGTAACTGCTGGTTCATATGGTTACTCGTAAGTTTCTGAGGAACTGCCAAGCTCATTTCCAAAGGAACTGTATTCATTTCCACCATATCAGAGTTCCAATTTCTCCCTATCTTCAACACTGATATGGTCTGTGGTTTTTATTAAAACCACACTTCTGGGTGTGAAGCAGCAACTCTTTGTAGTTTGATTTGCACTTTTCTAAGACTAAGGATATTAAGCATATTTTCCTGTACATGGCTGTCCTCTTTCCCTTCCGCGGTTAATAGTTATATCTTTGTGCTTACTCTGGGGCTTAAAGAAAACATCTGACAGTGGTAGCAATCTTTTAAGCTGATAACTTTAACTACATGCAAATCTTTTTCTTCTTAGCATTCCCTATACCTTTTAATGTTACAAGTTATCTCTTTTACATTACACTGTATATGTAACAAACACAATGTATTTCTCAATGATTTTACTTTTTTTCCAAATAATTTTATTTCCTTGGTAAACACAAATAAAATTCAAAATTATTTTAAACATAAAAGCTACAACTATAAAACTTCTAGAATAAATCTGAGGAGGGAAGAAATCTCCACAACAATGGTATTAGTAATAATTTCTGGATTGACACCAAAAGTGCAAGGAACAAAAGCAAAATAAATATCTGAGAAATATTTAAATGTTTCTTGAAGTTTAGGGAAACAATCAACTAAATGAAAATGTAGCCCACAGAATAAGAGAAAAAATATATACATACACATATACATTATATAAAGAACCCCACACAATAACAAGCAGTTAATATTCAAAGTATATGTGAAACTCATAAACTCCATCAATAAAAAATAAATTACCTGATGAAAGTATGAACAAAAGATTTGTGTACTATTACAGTTTAGTCACACCAGAGAAACTATTCGGTATTTACACGTGTGACTTATTTTTTTCACTTAGGAGTATATCCTCAATATGTATCCATTTTCCTATAAATGAATCTAATTTCTTTCTTTATGGCTGAGTAGTATTCCATTTTATAGAAAAACCACATCTCTTTTATCCAATCTCCAACTGATGGGCAAATGGGCTGTTTCCAAGATTTAGCTATTACAAACTGTGCCACTATAAATATGGGCATGCCTATATCACTCTGGTGTGATTCTTTTCTTTTGGAAAGATATCCAGAAGAGGGATGGCTGGGTCAAATGGAATCTCTAGTCCCAGCTCTCTGAGGTATCTCCATATTAATTTCCATAGTGGTTGCACCAGACTGCACTCCCACCAACAATGGAGAAGGAAGGGTTCCTTTCTCCCCACAACCCCGCCAACATTTGTTATTGGTTGATTTCTTGATGGCAGCCATTCTTTGTGGGGTGAGGTAGAATCTCAGTGTTGTTTTCATCTGCATCTCTCGAATGACCAGTGATGTGGAACATTTTGGCATATGTTTACATGCTGCTTTTACTTCTTTGTAAATTATCTGTTCATTTCAGATGCCCATTTTTGAATCGGGTCTTTATACTCGGGGGGACTGATTGTTTTCAGTTCTTTATAGATTCTAGGTAATAGTCCCTTGTCTGAGGAGCAGCTGGTAAAAATTTTTTCCCACATTGCAGGTTGTCTCTTAATTCTGTTGCTGGTTTCTTTTGTAGTGCAGAAGCTTTTTAATAAGATGAGATCCCAGTTGGTGATTCTTTCTGCTAGTTCCTGTGCTACTGAGGATTTGTTCATAACGTCTTTTCCTATGTCAATGTCTTCAAGAGTTCTGCCTAACTTATCTTCCAACAAGTTTAACATTTCTATTTTAATATTTAGATCTTTAATCCACTTTGATTTTAATTTACTGCATGGTGAAAGGTAAGAGTCTAGTTTTAATCTTTGGCAGGTTGAGATCCAGTTTTTCCAACACCATTTATTAAAGAGGCCATCCTTCCTCCAGTGGGGACAGTCAGCTCCTTTATCAAAGACGAGGTAGCTGAGTACATCTGGAGTTGTTTTTGTGTCTTCCAAACTGTTCCACTGATCCTCAGGTCCATTTCTTTGCCAGTACCATGCTGCTTTTATCACAGTGGCTTTGTAGTATAGTTTCAAATTAGGAATTGCTATACCCTCTGTCAGGTGTCTATTGCCTAGAGTGGCTTTTGCTATTCTAGGTCTCTTATGATTCCAAAAGAATTTTTGGATTCTTTTTTCTAGTTCTATGAAATATAGTGTTGGAATTTCAATTGGCATTGCATTGAATGTATATAGCAGTTTTGGTAGTATGGCCATTTTCACTATATTGATTCTTCCTACCCAGGAACAGGGGATATCTTTCCCTTTTCTTATATCCTCTGATCTCTTTTTTCAGAATGCTGTAGTTTTCAGTGTAGAGGTCTTTTGCTTCTTTTGTTAGATTGATTCCTAGATACTTCATTTTTTTGGATGCTATTGTGAAAGGAATTGTTTCCCTAATATCTTGCTCAGTGAGTCAGTTATTTGTGTATAAGAAGGCTATTGATTTTTGGGAGTTGACCTTGTATCCAGCTACTCTGGTAAAAGTGTCAATTAAGTCTAGAAGTCTTTTGGT